GAAAAAAAGACTCTATCTAAAGAAATATACTTATTTTCCTACATTTTGCTTAGAATTTGATACAACATATGTCTAACAGAGCCACCTTTTGTTTGCCAATGTCCACCAGCTCCACTGTCCCTCCCAGCTTCTCGATATCTTTGGCTGCCATCTCCATCATCTTCTTGATCTCCCCCCGCTTCTCCGGCCAAGCAGACACACTCTGCACACCGACCCATTCTGCAAGGCGCTGATTGGGATAAATAAAGAAAAAAAAACTCAAATCTACTCAGAGGCTTCTCAGTCCTACATAATAAAAAAAAGAAAAACAGCCGCTGGAGAGTTAAGCTTCAGCTAAAGTTCAAAAACCGGTTTTGCATTAACAAGGCTTGATGAATGGCAGCAAGTGAAAGTGTTTCAGTTACAATACAGAAATTTTAATCTTTTTTTTAGGATCACAAAGGCCCGCTATGGTATGACTTTTCATTTTAGGAGGAAGAAAATATTTAATCTTTGTTTTTGAGAGCTTGGGGGTCCCTGATAATCAGACTAATCAGAATCATGTCATCTGTTACCAGTAGAGATTAATTCTGCTGATTCCTCAACTAAAACTGGACAAGGTTTTCTATATTGTGAAATTATGAGATGAAAACTACTAAATGATCAATTCCTACGTTAGACTAAAGTTTTATTTTAATAAATTAAAACAAATTTCTACTAGTTTTTATAGAAATGTGTCTGCTCTATCACTACTTTCTTCAGAAAGAACATCTAGACAACTCATAGGAAACATGATATTAACTGCTTTTAGAAGGCAGGTCTGTCCGTCTTGGTATTTAACAATGTTGTAACTATGGGACAGTCTGCATCTTGGTGAAAGAGGTATATTTTGTTTGCTAAATCATCATTATTCACTCTCCACTTTATCTAAAAATCTGTTGTTATCAAACATGTCGTATGTTTTCAAAAAGAAACTGTGAAGCATCAAGTTTCACAGCAATAGACATGTTTTTACCTGCATATGTGCACCCTGACTGCTCAATCTTGTTTCTTACACACTTAACATCATATCAATTATTACCCATGGGTAAACCAGATTCATTCGCATTTTACTGTTCAAACACAAATGGCTTAACTGCACATTATTGTCCCAATGTAACGGATGAAAAAGTTAAATTCCTGTGAATAAGAAATGCAAAAAGTGTATTTACTCAATAAACAATGTGTCTGCACATACACTCATCACAATTGTTTTTGCACAAGGTATTAAGACAAGGTATAAGAAAAAAAAGGAATTTATCTCTTTTATTGCAAGCAGTGTTTTCAAGCCAACTATAGTCCAAAATAGAATGGTTTTAAAACCACAAAAAGGGCTCATGTGCTCCAAACTCAAATTAATGCTCAAGTATTTCAAAGTATTTTTACATTTGAACATTTTTAAAGAAATGGTTTGTCAGCTAAAATAGTGGTTTGTTGCCTGAAGGCAAAATCATTTTAGGATCACAAAGTTTTAGTTTTTTTTCCCTAAAAGAAAATCTGGCTCTTATATGAACCTGAATTAATCATACCTTCACATAGAGGTCCTGGTTTTCGTCCACATACTTGAAAAGTGTTGGTAGGTGAGCCATGTTTTCCTGAGGACACCAACAGAAGGTTTAACAATACAGATTAGTATGAATCTTTGACCCAGAGCTGTTATATGGCAGGACAAAGGCCACACCCCCCACTACAGACATGCTGACTTTGCATGAGCCTCCTGAGTCATGTGAGAAAGTACATTTAAATAAATCTGCTTTTCACATACATATTAAATTGAAACCAAATAGAAGCAAGAAAAATAACAAATTGAAAACAGTTTGGTTTGCATTTATATTCACCCACAACATGAATTTAGTAAAAATCTGCAGACTGTGTGCACCCCAAAAAAATCTCACCCTTTATGTAAAAAGGGGGAAAGAAAGACAGCAGTGTTAAAAAAATAAATAAGTCATGTTACATTTGGAGTCGGCACAAATAAGATAATTATACTTTTTGGTCAACTATTTCCTAAAAGGTTTAGAAAACTCAGAACTACAAATCAATCAGAACAAAGCATCCACAGGGTGGTGGGAGCATCATGCTGTGGGGAGGCTGATTTTAAGCAAAAACATCAATGCTGGTGCTAAAATAAAGTGCAATCTCGTTAGAAAATGTGTCAAAAGATTTCAGTTAGCCACTCCAATAAGAAAGAACCGATAAACTGACACTATAGCTATAATTACTCATTTAAATATGAAGACCTGTATTTGGACAACAGTAACTGAAACTCGTGTGTTTAAACGCTGGTGGGATATGAATCTGAAACTAAACAGGTAAATTATATTTCCGCAGGCTGTCATTTAAGCTAACAGAGCCAAATGCTATCAGGCTTAGAGTTGCTACATTTATTGTTTTAGCTAGAAACAGCTTCGATTGACACAAATAGCGAAGGTGCAATTTAAGACAGTTTACCGGCTTTGAAAGAGTATATCAATATTACCTGTGCTAGCTAAACGGTCCTCTTTTATCAGAGCTCCTGTTCTTACTTGGCAGAGCAGCTGCAAGACTCTCTGCTGTGACTCGTTGAACTAGTACGTAAGCGCTACCGCCATATTGTGAGTGGCGACTTTATCCAGGAAATAAACGCATGCTTGGAAATAGGGTTCAATCTGCAGGTTAAAAGGTTGGAGTAGTTTTTAAATTACCAAAATCCTCATTTTATGTTTAATTATATTTACCACTTTGACCAAAACAAACAATGTATGAAAAATAAATTATGACAGTATCATATGAAACAGTTTACTCAAATGTACTAATTGAACTATATTTTTCTTTAATGACAAATTACCAGTTGCCCTTTGATGTACTTAACAAATTATATAAAACCTGTACACAATCTTGCTAAATGACTGCATATATGTTAGCAATTTAAAAGTAGTCCAGTTATTTAAAGAATGAACCAGGGGTAGATGCCTCTCCCCAGCATTCGACCCATTCCAGTTCGCTTACTGACGAAACCTCTCCCCTGAAGATGCAATAGTGCTCTTCAGAGTCTAGCACACCTGGAGAAGAAGAACACCCATGTGTGGATGCTGTTCCTGAACTTCAGTACCATCATCCCACAGCATCTGGTGGGTAAACTGGAACACCTGGCCTTCAATACACCCATCTGCAATTGGCTGTTAGACTTCCTCACAAACAGACCTCAGTCAGTCAGTCAGTGCGTCCCTCAAGGCTGAATCCTTCTCCCACACTGTTTACATTTAATTGCTGCTGCACTTTAAGAAATGGAAATGTCATTAGAGCTGGAAAAAAATGTGTTTTGTATACACCCTGTGTAGACAAAATGACAATAAAAGTTGTATTAGTCTATAATGTTAATATTGTGCTTATATGCATTTATGCGGGCAGATATTTACAATACCACCAGCAAATATACTGCTCAAATGGAAAGAAAGTGCTAGTGTAGTTAATCAATAAACCAGTAATTGCAAGTGCTGTTGGTATTTACTTTTTGCTAAATTTTAATATAATATATTGGTAAAAAAAAATGTAAACTTTATTTTTAACCAGAAGCAATGTTATTGAAAAGAAAGGATCCTGAAATATATATTAAAAGGAGATTCATGATTTTATTTGATTGAATATTTTATTTCATTTTTATTTATCAATGAATCAAAAGTGAAAGAAATTGGCACCTGATCAAATAGTAATGATACACATGTGTCTCAATAGAAATAATGCCTCTCACAATATGGCAACTGTTTACTGGCCAGTCAGCATGTGAGGTGCTTTTCCTTACGATTTTTTGCTCTTGGTATCCATTTAGATTGAGCTGATTTCAGAGTAATTTATGTTGATGTCAAAGTGTTCTCGTTTGCTACTGTCAAGGCAAGTTTATTTAATACACCACACTGCAGGATGAAAGTGCTGTACATGGGAAAAAAAAGGAAAAGTACATTGCAAATTTCCATTCTTAATGAACATGAATAAAAAAAATAAAAATACTTATTTAAATTAGATTATATTAAAAGCATTAATAATAAAATGATTGATAAAATAAATTCAAGTTGGACTGAAAACCCAACTAATTGTCTTTAGATTGTAATAAAAAGGTACTCTTAACAAATACATTTTATAATCAGTTTAAAACAATTTAAACTTTCAATGCATTCATTGTTTTCTTTGAGCTTATTCTAGATTAGGTTCTATCCAGGGGACAACATGAGCCGGGGCCCCTATTGACCTGGTCTTGGCCCCTTTACTTAAGACATAATACAAAATAAAATTGATATGTTGATATACATTTGAACGGAAACTGTAAGTTACTGTTCCCTTGCACAAATGTATTTTTTATTTACAGGCTGACTTTAACAGTGATTTAAAAATTAAGATGTTGAATTACTGCTTCATTCATATTTAAATAGGATCATCATTTCCATGTGCTCAGTCAGGGTCTACAGAGCCATGTGTAGTTCTTTTGGTTTTTTTTTTTATCTGTTACTCTGTTTCCACACAGGGATTTATAGACTAACAGAAATATTTTCAAGTTTACTTTCAGAGATATGAGGAGACAATGTAACTGCTGATGGGCAATATGATTTTTAAAAAATATAAAATAAAAGTGTAAAGTACCAAGAAGACGTAGTAGTTAATTGCTTAAATAAATTGAGAAAAAAAAGCCTATCACCAGTAGCTGCAAGGCACCTAGTCTTTCAGGTAATGTTTATCAAAGAAACAGTTTCTAATTTTTAGACTTTTTGATAACCAAGCATATAGCATATATTTTTGTTAAATAATATTTTATTATTTATTTTATCCATTCAAAGAGACTAATATGGGTCAATGGAAATTGAAACTCACCTCAAGTGGGAGCAAAAAAAAAAGAAACTGGCTTCAGTTGAAATACGATGATAAATTAGTTTCAATAAAAAACATAGTAAAAGAGATCATTGTAATAAGGGGAAAACGACTCTTTAAGAGAATTTAAAAAATGCTTTAAATGTGTTTTAAAGTTATATTTATTTGGCAACACTAAACAGATCCAATATACTATGCTGTCCTTTTTGTCAGAATTCAGCATGAGCACATTAAAAGATGGAAAAATACCTCATCCCAAGTGCGTTATATTAAAACATGTATTATAGAAGTGACTGATCAACAGTGGACATGCTTAAGAGTTCATTCCAGCTGTGAGACCTCATGGAAGTATGCACCAAGCATCTTGATTCCCTGAATGTAGTTTGATCTGAAGAAGTTGGATAAAGAACACAGATTTTCTGAAAAACTGAACAGCTGTTGAATGGAGAAACAAATGATAATATGGCATACCTGTTGATTTTTTCATTTTGGGAATGAGCTCCATCATCTGAAGAGCCAACAGGGAGCAGCATGACGTTCCGACCTGTCGCCTCCTGGAAAGTCAGGGTGACCGGAATACTGCCGCCTTCACGAGTCAGGTCCGGCTCAATGCCGAATACTTGGAAAACATTTAAATACATTTAAATAAAATGTCTTTGACTGCAGTTTTATTCAAGAATGTTGACATGTTTTATGTTGTATGCTATTTTCATTGGCATGACCCTAATTCTTTCATCCTCAATCCATCAAAAAATTATTCATGCTAACAAACTGTAGAGTTTTAAATTAAGACAATATACCTGTCTTAATTGCTTTTCGACCAGCCATATAGTGTGGGTGGTTGAAATCAGACACCCAGGCTTTGGCTCCTTCACCAAAGCTGTACACCTTCATTTTATTAGGACTTCCTAATTCAGCAAATTTCTTTTGTACATGGTCGATCACCTAAAAGAAAGAAGAAAAGAGAGATAAAAAAAAAAACAACAAAACAGATTTAATGTTTGTTGTTTTTGATCATTAAATCATCAATCATCATTAAATTCTAAATCCACAACAAACTGAAGCTAGTTTATGTGATCCATTGCTTCAAAGTACAGCCTACCAGCCCCTTACAGCCAATCAAACTGCTGGTCAACAATGGCACAAACCTGGTCAAACAAAATACTTTCCTATTTGTTTTTTGTGTTTTTTTTTCCCATGACATTTTCACTGACTTTTAAGATATTCTTAAAATAGTATTTGGCTTTTTTTTTTTTTTGCCTTAAAGGTATAGTGAAGGATGTTATTTTTCCGGGTGGATCATCAAAAATAAATGGTCCTCCTAATTGTCAATCATCCTGGTCATACCTTTACATAAGGCCGTTCTACGTGCTTGTCCCCATTTTCACTTACCGGTGGTTAGTCTGACATAGTGGAAAAATTGCAAATCTTCTTTTGGAAAGTTAGCTTGTATGAGTGATGCAAAGAGCAACTTTTAAACAGAGCGAGCACGAGGAGAAATGGGCTTGGGCACACTCTCACATGCATTATATAGGCGCTCCCTCTTGGGAGCGGGTACAAAGTTGTGCATGTGTATTTTATCTATTTTTTTGTGAAATTTAAAAAATTTGTGAAAATCCTCCACTATACTTTTATCAGCAAGCAGGATTACAAACCTACAAAGACTTTCACACAAACGCAAACCCTTGCACATCCATATAGTTTGGCTAAAAAAATTGTTGTATTTCACATACAGGTGCTGGTCATAAAATTAGAATATCATGAAAAAGTAGATTGATTTCAGTAATTCCATTTAAAAAGTGAAACTTGTATATTATATTCATACATTACATACAAACTCATATATTTCAGATGTTTATTTTGTTTAATTTTGATGATTACAAATGACAACAAATGAAAATCTCAAATTCATCATATCAGAAAATTAGAATATTACTGAAGACCAATAAAAACAAAGGATTTATAGAAATGTTGGCCAACTGAAAAGTATGAACATGAAAAGTATGAGCATGTACAGCACTCAGTATTTAGTTGGGCCTCCTTTGGCCTGTATTACTGCAGCAATGCGGCGTGGCATGGAGTCGATCAGTCTGTGGCACTGCTCAGGTGTTATGATAGCCCAGGTTGCTCTAATAGTGGCTTTTAGCTCTTCTGAATTGTTGGGTCTGGTGTATTGCATCTTCTTCTTCACAATACCCCATAGATTTTCTATGGGGTTAAGGTCAGGAGAGTTTGCTGGCCAATTAAGAACAGGGATACCATGGTCCTTCAACCAGGTACTGGTAGCTTTGGCACTGTGTGCAGGTGCCAAGTCCTGTTGGAAAATGAAATCTGCATCTCCAAAAAGTTGGTCAGCTGCAGGAAGCATGAAGTGCTCTAAAACTTCCTGGTATGTGGCTGCGTTGACCCTGGACCTCAGAAAACACAATGGACCAACACCAGCAGATGACATGGCACCCCAAACCATCACTGACTGTGGAAACTTTACACTGGACTTCAAGCAACGTGGATGAAGTGCCTCTCTTCTTTTCCTCCAGACTCTGGGACCTTGATTTCCAAAGGAAATGCAAAATTTACTTTCATCAGAGAACATGACTTTGGACCACTCACCAGCAGTCCAGTCCTGTTTCTCTTTAGACGCTTCTGACGCTGTCTGTGGTTCAAGAGTGGCTTGACACAAGGAATGCGACAGCAGAAACCCATGTCTTTCATACGTCTGTGTGTGGTGGTTCTTAAAGCACTCACTCCAGCTGCAGTCCACTCTTTGTGAATCTCCCCCACATTTTTGAAGGGGTTTTGTTTCACAATCCTCTCCAGGGTGCGGTTATCTCTCTTGCTTGTACACTTTTTTCGACCACATCTTTTCCTTCCCTTCGCCTCTCTATTAATGTGCTTGGACACTGAGCTCTGTGAACAGCCAGCCTCTTTAGCGATGACCTTTTGTGTCTTGCCCTCCTTGTGCAAGGTGTCGATGGTCGTCTTTTGGACAACTGTCAAGTCAGCAGTCTTCCCCATGATTGTGTAGCCTATAGAACTAGACTGAAAGACCATTTAAAGGCTTTTGCAGGTGGTTTGAGTTAATTAGCTGATTAGAGTGTGGCACCAGGGGCCATCAATTTTGAACCTTTTCACAATATTCTAATTTTCTGATATGATGAATTTGAGATTTTCATTTGTTGTCATTTGTAATCATCAAAATTAAACAAAATAAACATCTGAAATATATGAGTTTGTATGTAATGTATGAATATAATATACAAGTTTCACTTTTTAAATGGAATTACTGAAATCAATCTACTTTTTCATGATATTCTAATTTTATGACCAGCACCTGTAAAGAATGATAATTTTCCTAGTATTACTGTCAAAAAATACAGACAAAAATTTCTAGATGATGAAAAGAGAAATGAATGGGCACAAAAGGATAAAGAATTGAAGAGCCCCTTTTAATGTGTTAAAAAAAAATCTTAGGAGAACATATAGAAAGACTCAGATTTTTCCAATAACTATTTAAAACCCTTCCAATACAATTCATGTTTAAAATTGGCTAAAACTTAAGAAATGAAAAAAAAAAGGACAGATGTTCGAGAAGTCAACAGTTAAAGATTTATACTAAGAAACCCAGCAATTAGTTCATGTTCAGTTAAAGGTACTTTTACCTGCTTTTCCACCAATTTGGGGTCCATGTCAGGGACGAGGCGGATGGAGAACTTGCCAATGACTTTGCGTGGGATGACAGTCTTGAATCCAGTTTCTGAGAAAGCCCCTTCTATGCCATGCAGAGAAAGAGATGGATATCTCCAGCGATGCATCAGGATTTGCTCCTAAAATGGGAAAAATTACAAAATCCGAATGGTGCTGACTAAAGCAACACTTTTCCAAGTAATTAAAGGTTTATTTACCTTAGTATCATGCAGCAGCTTCCCAGCTCCTGCATCTTTGCAGTACTCAGACAGGTCAAATTCAATCTTTTCATAAAGTCTTTTCTCATCGTCTGTAAGAGGAGCTACACTGTCGTACATCCCAGGAATTAAAATCTTTCCCTTTCTGTCAACCAGAGAGCCTGAGAAGGAAGAAAGGATGAAAGTTAAAATTCTTTAGTGGGATAATCACTCATTGCTCTTCTCAACAGTAATCTCTAATTACCCATGAGCGCGATGAGATCAGGCATTGCCTCATAGATCGAGCCACCAAACACACCTGAGTGAAGGTCTTTTTCACTGCACTCAACCTTCACAAGGAAAGATAAAAAGCATATGAGAAAAAAAACCAACACTGTGAAAAAAGACCCAACATTAAATAAACCTGAATTTGTTCAGGCATTTCAATATTTAGACTGAAACGAGGACTTGGTGGCAGCAGAACTTCACCTCTATGAAAAAAGCGCAGATCCCTCTCAAGCCGTAGGTGATGCATGGCTTTGTCTTCCCAAGCCAGTAGTTGTCTGAGATGCAAACATAATCCACGTCTTTGAAAAACGAATCTTTTCGAGAAAACACAAGTTCATCCAACCCTTCAGAATCGGATTCCTCCATCCCTTCAAGGCAGAACTTGATGTTGATGGGAAGCTCCTAAAATAGAATATAATATAGCATATACAGCTCAGTTTTGGAAGAATTTTGCTGTTTGAATACCCAAAACATCTCGCCACTGTATGACAAATAGAAATGTGCATAGTTACTTTTCAACTAAGAAAAACCACTTGCATGCTCCATTACGGTAGATCCTTATTTAGATTTAAAGTCAGACGGTAGCAACATAATCTAAACACCCCAATGTGACTTCAAAGCATTGGTTGGACTTAAAAATGGACAGCACAGTCAATTATGACAGATTATTGCACTGCTTCACACAATTTTAGCAAGGGGAAAAATGAACAACTTCAAAGAATTGGAGGTCATCAGTATAAATATCCAAACATATAGAAAATATTTCAGCTACAATAAGAACGCAAGGATGGGTTGATGGCAATAAAGAGTTTTCTATTTACTATTTGGAGGGGTTTGAATTATTATGTATTCTAGGTTTTTAATAGAATGAGCTAAAACTATTTATTTTCTGTTTATATGCAGCTCTGCTCCTGCCATCATTATCACTCATTATTTTCACCTGTGCAGCTCTACCCCTTCTCCTCTACCACCTGCTCCCCTGCTTATTTAACCAGACCTCAAACCAGTTGCTGTTGCCAGATTATTTAAAAGCATACCAGTAAGAATTCTAGAGTTTCTGTTCCTGCTGCTGATTAAGTTCCTGCTTGCTTTCTTAATACATTTGTTATTGGCGTCTGGTTGGATTTTGGGTCTTCGGTCTAGTTTGTCACAGAGGCAATCTTCTTTATTGAACAGAAATAGCAATAAATACATTTGAAAGGAGTGTGGATCATTTGGGGCTCAACCAGATGAAAGTTGAGGAAATTTTGTCAATTAAAATATGAGACCACTTAGAAATGTTACACGTAGGGTCTCTTCCTATCATTTAACCCAGATCAAATATTTATTGCACAATTGAAGAAATACATTAAAATCTTTACTTTGGGAAAACCCAAGTAGATAGAACCTTAATGGCAACTTCTAAAACCCACAATAGCCTAAATTAAACTACAATTAATTGCCCCCATCGCAGTTCAATGTTTTAAGTTTTTATAGCTTTGTTTCATTTTTGCTACAGAAAACAATAACTGACAAAATCCACTAACATATAAGCAACTAGATGAACAAATTCTGTAGAATGGCAATGAAACGTTTACCTGTTGGATCTTCTGATAGGCCTCAATGCAGTTAAACCAGGCCAACACTGGACCCTTATCATCAGTTGATCCTCTCCCATACAGTTTACCTACAAAGATATAACTCAGTTTTACAAACGTTAAAATTGATAATTCAGTCTATTATCTCTTTAAACAAATAATTAAGACCAATAATGCATGTTGACATAAACTACTGCTTGAATTAGAACAGACCTTTCATCTTGTTAAATCCCTGTTTTCTTCCATCACTCATCTTACCATAAAATTATGCAGCCAAACTGAGGAAACTGAACAACATCTACCTTTTCCCTGGCGGTTTGATATGTAGTTTATGTTTTGATGTATTTATCTACTTGCCTTTGCTGTGAGACATTTTATAGGAATGATGGAGGAGTCTGTGGCTAATCTTTAATTGAAAATGTTACTTGAACCATTGATGCACCATTGGAGTTTAAAGTATAACCAGGCAGAAAGGGAAGAAGGAATTTCACTGATGGCATAACTTGGCCATTCAGATGGTGAGCTGGACTCATTCTTTGAGAATATAAGAGTTCTTAACCACATTCTGAACAGCTACATTAACTACAAATGATAGCACTGTCCCCACAAACTTGTAGGACTGGCACATCTACCTGATAAACCAAAGCTATCTTACAGGCCTTTAGCCACAGTGCTATCATTTTGGATGGCTGCAGTGCATGAAGGTGACAGACTATTCCTGAATAGGGACTCAGACTACCTTTGTTTAAAGTTTAACCTTTTTTCCCCCAAAATTAGGCTCACTAGTTGGTTATTTTGGAAGGCTACACTGCATGGAAATGCTTTTGCTTTTACTTTCAACAAACAAGCTTAGTTCTTCTTTTCTCACCATTTGATTTGAAATGTTAAAGGGATTGACAATCAGTCCAGATCTTTCTTAACCACATTATTTCTCTGAAGAACAAGTTCCCCTCTGTCCTTCGAGTTTTAGAAAATGCTTTAGACTGTTTTAGATTTCTTATTTGATGATTTATTTGCACAACGAATTTTACTAATTGTGTTGTTGTTTTTTTATAATCACCTTTATTTGCAATTGTACATAAAAAAAATATCCTTTACATTTAACCCATCCCTAGGAATGGGCTCGTTTTATAGTGCCTTTGAGAGCCATTGGGGGCTAGCTGCTAGGGGGAGAGGCAGCCTAGTGGTTAGGGCATTGCGGTTGGAATCTAGAGGTTCTGAGTTCAAGCCCCACTCCCACAGACTGCCACTCTGGCTCCCTGAGCAAGACCCTTAACCCCACACTGCTGCCCAGGCACCGCACAATGCTTCCCAAGGGGATGAGTTACATGCAGAGAGTTAATTTCGTTGCTTTGTACTTGTGACACTGTTTTGACCATAAAAGTTGAATTCTATTCTATTCTATTGGCCTCTGCTCAGGGACCCAGATTTCCAGTCTGTGTTCCAAACTGGGGATCTTGCAGCCTCTCCAGGATCCAAACACTCTGGGCCGGATTTATCAAGATCCAATTTTGCGTGCAGTAATTTGCGCTCGCAAACTGGAATTTTGCGCGAGGGGCTGAACCATGGTTTGCGGGTGATTTAACAAGAGTGATTGCGTAACTGGTGGAAGGTGCAAAACTGTTGGAGACGCCCTATTTAAATGATGGTTTTGCGCGTTTTGTGGTTTGCGGCAAAGTAGTTTGTAGTTTGTACAAACTAGTGCATTAAGAAATTTAAATCTTACAGTGACCCCCAACAAAAAAAAAAAAATAAGTAAATATATATATATATATATATATATTTATAAATTGGCAACCTTTATTCCCTAAGGTGGTATGTGCTGCAGTAAAAAAAAACCAAAAAAAAAAACAAAACAGGTGTTTTGTATTGGCCTGTGACTGTGGATGAGATCCCCGCAGCATTGGCACGTTGCTCCACAGGCGCAGGGGGAGAACCCCGACCCCGTCGGACAGCACTTCTGAAAAAACGAGATTAGGAGATCCCAGCTCTCGCTGCAACCGTACGCTGGAATGACCCAAATGCAAAAAAGTGCAACGTTGCAAGGAGTTTTGTGATATCTGGTATTGCGTGGGTCCTCCTTGTGGCTGGCTCCAAATCTATTCGGAGTTCCCCCAAAAGCTCCAAAATGGCAATGCTGGATAAACTATATGTTTTGATGATCGTTTCCTCGTTCATTGCAAAAATATTCACACGGAGTGAAAAAATGCGTTTTCTGCATCTCCTTGCTTCATTTCCATGTCTCCTTCTTGCGACAATAACCGCTGCCATGTGTGCGCAATTACGCATACAGACCATTTGCACCTTCTTTTGAAACGTGTTAAATATAGAGTCAGATACCGTTAGCAAAATTGCGTTCAAGTTTGATAAATCACTTTGCGAGTGCTAAATTAATATATTTACATGTTCTCCTCCCACTAGACGCACTTTAGCGTGTAAACGCCCCATATTGCATATTCATTGCAGACATGGGCGGATCTACAGGGGGGCAAGGGGGGGCAGCTGACCCCCCAATATAGAGCCTTGCCCCCCCAGCTGCCCCCCTAACTTTGATGATCCAAAAGCTGTACCTGTAAAAACAACCTGCCACTATGTTCACAGGCTTCTCAAAACAATACATTTACCAAAAGGTTGCAATTTAGTTTTTTATTTTTAATGTATTATTTGCCACCGTCCCTCAAATACTTAGCTACGCCCCTGATTCAAACGTGCAGAGCGCAGTTCGCGCTCAGTCTGTCTGACACACACAGTCTGCAGCGTCGCGGTGGCTCTGTAGTGTGCAAACCAACTGGAGAGACTGAGCTGTCCCAGGGCATCTGAAGGTGAAGTGACTTTTACCAGGTGTAGTTTAAACACACGTTTCACTTAAAAGTTACATTTGTAGTCAATATCTGCTAAAGACGATTAGCAAAAACAGCGAGTGTGTCGGTCAAATCCTTCCCTCGGGATTTGTAAGAGCACTCTTCCCTTTGATTAATGTTAAGAAAAAAACAGCTTAATAAAAAAATACAAAATATTTTTTGTATCCATAACGTTAACTGATTTACTGATGGTAACCGTTATGCCGCCGTTACGTTACAACACGCAGGCTACAGTGTTGATTTGATTAGCTGAGCAGTCCTATAAATCCAATTCCTCTCAGATATCGCAGCAATGAAACCAGGTTATAACTGGGGAAATAACAAATACAATAGAATTAAGTAGTCTAAACATAACTGGCGTGTGAATGTGATAAATCTTTCTCATTTATATTTGTTATATAGGCTATACTACAATACCTATATATATATATATATATATATATATATATATATATATATATATATATATATATATATAGGTATTGTAGTATATGCTACTTAACTTATAAGTTCCATGGCCCTACAGTGTAGGCTAATGAAATACAAGGATAACCAGAGGTTTTCACATATTGACTTTTGCATGCAAATATTACTTCATAGGCCTAGCCATGAAAAGGAAGGCTAAAAGTGGGGATATAACCAGCTTTTTTGCAAAGAAAATTCCAACAAGTACACAAGAGGAAGAGCGCAAGGGAAATGAGGGAGAAGGCAGTAAACTGGAGAGCCCAGGAGGGTCAGTGCAGGAAAAGACTGAAGGAGACACAGAAATAAGTGACGAAGAAGAGGAAATACATGAAGGAGACACAGAAATGAGTGAAGGAAATGAGGAAATAAGTGCTTGTAGTCCACTGCATCTTGGACACAATTAATATAACAAATAAATTAAAGGGATTTTGCTTGTTAGACTTACTTTTTAAAAGATGCAGTTTTTTTTTTGTTCGATCACTGCACTTTGCTTATTCTGTTGTGAATTTAAAAGAAAAACTTTGTAGTGTGTAAGGGCATGATTAAACAACAACTACTGTAGTTTAAAAGTGTTTTGTGTTTATTTGGTTAAAGCAGCTCACATATAAGGATTCCCATGTACCGTCTACTTCTGCCACCCTGCCAAGACCTCTTGCCACCCCTTTGCCCCCCCATGTAAAATTTTCTAGATCCGCCACTGATTGCAGAAAAAGTACTAAATGGATCAGAGGCGCTATTTAGCACGTTTTAAAGACCAAATGCTTTTAGCACGCTGTTGATAGATCAGTTTGTACATTTTTTTAGCGTGCGCAGTGAAATAGCTCACGTTTTAATACACGCAAACCTTTGATAGATCCGGCCCTCTATCCACAGTAAAACTAATCAACCATCCATGTAGTAATGATTTAATGGGGAGTTCTCACCTGTTTGCTTGATTGTAAATCAAGGTGTGGTGTTTTTCAGTGAGGCAGTGATAATAGATCTGCCATTTGGCAGTTGACTGACTTTAAGGCTCCTCTTGCACGTTCTTTCTAAAAGTGGCTAAACCTGACTAGTGATATTTTGCGCATAAGAAAGTTCAGCCCTGCCCTGGACAAAAACACAAAGCTTTTGCTCTTACCATCTTTCTCCACCAGAGTGAAAGGCTCAGTGTCCCAGCCGTCCTTCATTTGAGCAGGCTGGACATCCAGGTGACCGTAAATGCACACAGTCTTCTTGGCAGGATCTGAACCCAAATAGCCCAGGAGGATAGGAGGGAGAGGGATCTCCTCACCAGAGGGAAGCTACAGGAAGGAACATTGCTTAGCTGAAGTTTGTGGTTAAAAACTTAAGTAAAAATAAATAAATAAATTAAAAAAAAAAACTTGTACCTTTTGTGTGCCATTGTCCACAAGCTCCACTGTCCCCCCCAGCCTCTCTATGTCTTTTGCTGCCATTTCCATCATCTTCCTGATCTCGCTGCGCTTCTCGGGCCAAACAGACACACTTTGGACCCCGACCCATTCTGCCAGTCGCTAGTTAGAGGAAATTCAAACATCTTCTAAAAGTATATTTTAACTACTTATGGAAAATTATTTGAATTGTTCCAAATAAGTTCTACTCCAGGTAAACGGACCTCTCTAAGTATAAATGCAGTAAATGGCAACAAACCAGAAGCTAATTAGTTAAAGGATGCTTTCTTATTGCATATTTAAAGTTATCAAGTAAAATTTAACTAATTTAACTTTAACTAATTTAATTAATTTAACCTCATTTTTAAATTACTGAATGAGAAGGAAATCACACTAAAGTACATACGAATCTTCTTTACATCAATCCTACCTGCACATAAAGGTCTTGGTGTTCCTCCACATACTTAAACAGTTCTGGAAGATGAGCCATTTTGGCCAATAAGCGTAAAAAAGCAGTTAACTGGCAGCAAGTCAGCAGCTTAGTCTAGTCTGTACTATTATAAAGGAAGTCAAAGGCCACGCCCTCTGCAAACCTGCCCTCTGCGGCTGTATTTATAGCTCCATTGCCATGTACTTAGAGGTATGTAGAGTATGTTTGGAAAAAAGTTCTTTTTTTCATATTTTTGTTTTGTTTTAGAAGACTCAGAATTTAGAAAATGTGTGTTTATAAGCTCAGTGTTTTTAAGTAAGATCTACAAGGAGTCCTGGGCTGTGTAGATCCTTTCAGTTCTTTACTCCAACAATAAAACATGTTGAGAATCCAGATTTTCTACCAGTGGCACATTTCAAGAAACAGACTTCCTAAATTTACAATTTGTGTATAACCACATGTGACTCGTCCCATGTGACAAACACAAGGCACTAAAGTGAATTGAAAGTTTTCTGTTGGATTAGTCAAATACTCTCTGGAGGAGGATATAAGAATGTCTGAACGGCTGGATCAAAAGAATGGTTGATCAACAGAAGCATATGTGATATCTCTACAGGATATATACCTTGATCTTAACAGTTTCAATATATGAACAATTTCTATATAGTTTTAACCTTAAAAACTTCCATCCTCATACTGACTGCATACCTATTGTCACTCATGAGCAATATTCCTTTCTCTCAATGTGCAATAACACATGCCAACTACTGTGTAGCCTGTTTAATTTTCACTTATTTATATGGTGAGTACAGTTCTGCAGTACAAGTGCAATAATCCAAGTCAACTACTGTGTAGTCTTTCCTTAGCTCTCTACTGTGCAGGTATTTTTATATCTAAGGGAAACATATTCCAGGACATTACAACTTTTTTCAATTCAATTCAGTTTATTTATATAGCGCCAATTCACAACACAAGTCATCTCAAGGCTTTTTTATGCTTTTTTTTTTTACTATATACACTCTTTATATTGTCTGTTGTGTTTTTATCTTTAATGGCTTCTTTATTTAACTCTTTGCACTCTATATAAACTATACCAGAATTTTTCTGAAGGAGTAATCCCAAGGGTTGTGCTTGAGGTTGGCAGAGTTGTGATAAAATATCTTTAGAAATTTCCCCAAAAAGCCCATTTTTATAATTTAATTATTAAATTAGGTATTTTAAGTTTGATGATAACATCTTTCAGATTACATCTAAGTGTTTAATGATCTACACCTCAGGTCTTCGACACTGGGGTTGCAAACCTATTGGAAGGAGGTCTTCAACAGGGGGTCCACAGAGGTATTGCATGGGGGTCGTGAAAGTTTTGGTTGAATAGACTTTTTTAAAATATTTCCCCCCTGCAATTTTTTCCACTTATTGTAATGAATTTAAATAGACATTAACATTAATTCAACACACTGTAGTAAACAGATAAATGGAGGCAGAAGATGTCTTTCAGTTATCAATACCAGTGGCGGTTCTAGACCAAATGTACCAGGGGGCCAGGAGGGAGCCAGCGTGTTTTCACGGGGGCACAGAAAAGCATGAAATAAAAAACAGGGCAGGGGATTTAAATATATTAGGACAGGTGCATGAAGTAAAATTTCTATTCAATTAGGTTTAATTAAAATTCTATTTCTTATTAGGTCAACATACATTCATAATTTAGGAATTTTACAAATATTTTACTTAATTTAAGTTAAAGTTACCATTTTCTCTAAAAATCTGAATCAGAACTCAAGAAAAACTGATAAATTCAGCTGTAAAAATTATAGCAATTTGTTTTTGAAAAAAACATTTAGCAGAGGAAAATTATGATTCTATCTCAATACCACTGAAGCCATCACCATTTTGTTTTTAAATAATGAGTAAAATAGAATTTGTAAAGAAAAAAAAATTGAGATAGGTCCAAAGGAGCTATCAGTAACCATGTCTGTTCCAGCGCATATCATCATTAGAACTTCTTTGAGTATTGTCTTCAGTACAGGGGCCAAGACATGATGAACAGGGGCACTGGCCCCCGTTGGCCACTGTCTTGAACCACCCATGATCAATGCACACATTCAATGACACACAGGAACTCTTTCAAAGCTGGGCACATTTTCATTCACAACACCTGTCCCATCAACAGGGAATCAAAATGAGAAATCTAGATAAGTAATTTTTTTCTGAAAATAAGTGCATTGGTACTTGAATTTAGGAGATAAAAGAAAAATGTTGCCAATGGAACAATACCATTTAGATTTAAAATAAGAAAACACAATTGCATTGTTTTATTTTACTCTACTTTTATTATCGAATTATCCTATTTTAAGAGTAAAAATAGTAATTCCATTGGCAAACTAATTTACCTACTGAAATCAAGGGTAAATACACTTAATGTAAGACATTTTTACTTATTTCTAGATCATTTTTCCAGTGCAAATAATAGAGTGACTATAGGACCAGTCTAATATAACACAATTTCATAGAATATATAACGTTGAAGACCCCTGCTATAGGACGAATCATGGGGGTACTATAGGGACCACAGATTTAGTCCTGGCCCTCAACCCCCAGACTTGTAGACTAACTCTGTTATTTGTGGTTACATGGAAAATATGATTGGTAAACAAATATTAAACACACTCTCAGGTATCAATACAATGGTCTGTAGTAGAGAAAGAGATGGAGCATTCATTCCTTAGTAACTTACATTTTCCTCATCCTCTCTCACATTGAAACCAGCTAATTAAAGACAGTTTTGAAGACAGCCAATGTAATAATCAGTGTTTCCAAGAGTCCTCCACAAAAATATTCTTGCAGCATTGCAAAAGATACAAATCTAAACAAGTTTTATTGTCACAGATTCTTTTAACGGCATGTAATGCTTAAAGAACTCTAATGATGACCAGTCAGACAGGTTTGTGCTTTATCTACACTAGTTATTCACAAACCATTTAGAAACATAAAATAAAAACCCAGCTACCTTCCATAGATAGAATCAATAGAAGCTATTAAGAAGATGATTAATCACATTAACTTTACAAGTTTCATAAAATATATCAGTTTGTCAAAAATGTGCACATTTTGTCAGTGTGATATGTTGCATACAATGCTTTAACCAAAACTGGATGGAATGCAGTCAATAATATAGTAGAGTTCTTGAGTTAAGTTACACTCTGCAAAAATATAAATGCAACACTTCTGGTTTTGCTCCCGTCTTTTATGAGATGAACTCATAGATCTAAAACTTTGTCCCTCAGATATTTTTCACAGTACTTCTCCTTTGCTGAGATAATCCATCCCACCTCACAGGTGCAGATTATTGCACAGGTGTGCCTTAGACCAGGCATCCCCAACCTCGGTCCTCAAGGCCGCTGTCCTGCAGGTTTTAGAGGTTTCCTTGCTTCAGCACAGCTGATTTTAATTGAAAGCTGATTAACAGGCTTTTGGTGTACTGCAATCATTATAATCAGCTGTGCTAAAGAAGGGAAACCTCTAAAACCTGCAGGACAGCGGGCCTTGAGGACCGAGATTGGGGATGCCTGCCTTAAACTGCCCACCATAAGGTTGCATTATGTCAAAATAATAATAGGACAGGGGTGTCAGACTCACTTTTAATATTGGGCCACCTCAGCAGTAGCCAGCCTGGTTGCAGCTGTATAAATGAAACTTTTATGTTCATAATTTAGTTAAAACAACCAAATAATCTCCGTATAGCTTTACTCCCATTTATGTAGCAGTTTTAGCTATTTTGTAGATTTTTAAAATTAAATATGCTACTTTTTTATATAATATGCCTTGTTTGCTATTGAGGGCTAGATAAATTGACCTAGTGGGCTGAATTCTGCCCTCAGGCCCATGGTTTGACACATATGACTTGGAAACAAGTTAATACAAAAAACAGGTATTTTATTTTAAAAGATTTGTGACAAAGTCAAAATGACTAAGTTCATGATTCACACTTTTATTCTTATTATTAATCTGCATCATGATGCCCATTCCTGCCTGTTGTATATTTTGTATATATGTAGTATAAAATATACTACAACTAAAGAAATTAACTAATCTAATATTTTGTCATGGATGATAAAGCTTTTGTTGTATTAAATATTTTCCCACTAATATGATCATACAACAAATGACACCTTATGTGTAACAGAAAAAAAAAATTTAATAAAACAGTTTTACCTCCATCACTATTTTTTTCATTCTGCTCAAAAACAAAGTCAACAAATCCTTAGTAGTCTTTATAATTTGTAAAACATCCGTTTTTCCCTAGATCTTGTTTTTTTATAACCAAAAAAAACAAAAACATAAAAGATCAATGTAGACGTTTCCAGCAGCCTGAAGAATAATTACTTGTAGGAATTTGCTTTGTGTTTTGGCAAAAAGTTGAAATTCTTTGGGACTGGTCCGAGCAGCATTTCACTGAAAAAAAAAAAAAAAAAAAAGATGAAAAAATAAGATCATGATTAGACAAAAAAAATATCGCTTTAAATTAGTCAACAGATGAAACGCTTTGCTTACCTGATCTTTATCCAATCGTCAGCATGCTGACTTGCCATCAGGGACTCCAAGTAGTTCCTGCCCATGTAATATGGAGGCCTCTCATTGATCTTCTGGGGCACTCGCTCCAACAGGCCCACGGGAATATATCTAAACGATATGAGAAAAAAAAAGAATACGATTCATTTCTCATTATTTGACTTTGTTATGGGTACTAAAGTAAAAAGAAAAAACAATTAAAACAGATTGATGTAATTATAGTACACACTGTTATAGGGACCCCTAAAAACCTCTTTTATTGTATGTGCCCCCAAGGAGCTTGATTCAATAGGATATCAGTAAGCATGCATGTTACAGGTTTAATGAGGATTAAAATAAAAAGTGCCATTTAAAAAAAAGACTGCTGTTTCAGACCTGCACATAAAGGAGAGCCACTCCAGCAGGAAGTTCCGGGTCTTTTCCACACCCTGAGTGTCAGAACCCCAGTGCTCCAGGCCAAAGTTGGTGAAATCCTTCAGGATATCAAGTCGCTCACTGGATGATATGTCCCAGTGCCGGCTCTCCTTTATCTCTGTGAAAATCCAAGGCTTGATGAGGGCCCCCCTGAGATAAACAAGACAAAACTTATTAAAACATTATACAATTTCCATAGAGCACTTTAAATGAAAGGAATTATTATTAACAAGCTTTTTTTTTAAGTCTATTTATAATCAGTACTTTAAAATCTTATATTAGATGTTTAGTTTTCTAAATAGGTTCAAAATACATAATTATATCTTCAACTAAAACTTGTACCTTTTTGTAGAAAGACCTTTGAGAAATGCCTGAGCTGTAGCATCACACTAAATGTAAAGATTAAATTCAGTTCAGTTAAAATAAGAACAATCTAGTGGTTAAATCCAAAACTGCAATAGAGACACGCAAATTTACAAGAATGCCTCTGGGAGGATGAGCAGTTATTTTAAATTTTTTTCTACTTGTTAGGCTTTTTTTTTCTTGCACTTGTCAACTTCAAATTTAGAAGCGGCTTTGATGTGACGCAAACAATCACTCCTCTGTGGTCATTAATTTCCTCCCACTTTTGCACCAAGTAAACACCAGAAAAATGAGAACACTGCTGCTAATTTTGCCCTTAAATCCAAATGCAGATACAGTATATCCTGATGAGTGAAAACCATTAAAGTGAAAGAGGATGAATATTCTCCTCCATGGCTGTAAATCCACCTGCTCAGTGGTTCTCATCACTTTCTCAATAGAGTATGTAAAAAAACACCAACCTTGCAATCATGATACCAGAAACACCGGTCTCTCGTGCTTTCATGGCATCCTCATAAGACAGAATGTCTCCATTACCTGGACAAAAACAGGTTACAATAAGTACAACTCAAATTTAAACCACGTCCTAATATCTATAAATAGTTTTACAGCCTTGGATCGGCCTTTTGTTCTGAGTCTTTTTTTAAAACTCCACGTACCAAATAATGGAACAGGACTGGCCACCTTAGCACATGTGCTGATATAGTCCCAGTCAGCTAACTTTGTGTAGCGCTGTTCCCTGGATCTGCCATGCAGCTGTAAGAAAATAACATCGTTATAACTCCTGTATGTCAACCTCAATAATAAACAACCAGCCATGAAAGAGAAAAAAATATGAGGCAAAAACATATGAAGCAATACTACACAGCAATCTATGTAGATAACAGAGATCTTTAAATTAAAAGCTTTACAAGTGCTTTTACATAATAAAAACACTTTGATTTTATTCAATCCATTAGTAATAATTACACTGTGAGTTACTGTACAATGTTGGATACTTTCAAACTTCCTTCAACCCTAAAATCGAGTAAAATGTCTAGGTGTGAAATAATGGGATTAATCAATAATTGAAATATTTATCAACTAATTTAGTAATCGATTATTCTTTAACTGGACTATAGAGACCAAAACATACCTTGAGCTGATACAGAAACCTACTTAGAGGAGTAATTATATCAAAATTGTAAATATATATGAATATTTTGCTTTAAAATAAACTTTTTCGTCAATATGTTCTTACCAGAACTCGGTTTTAGTTTCACCTGGTTTTATTCTGTAAAAAAAGCCTCTTTAAGGAATCTTTTGATATCTGATTATCAATTGGAAAAATAATCGACAAAATCGATTGGCAAAACAATTGTTAGTTACAGCCCTAAAAGTTTCCCTTCCCTTCGCCCTAAAACATGTAACTGCCATCAAACCTTTACCCGTGCCTCCTTCTAAGTGGAGACTCACCGTGATCATGGAGACACCCCAATTCTTCATCTCTCCTATAAGTTTGTGCGCAATGTTGGACTTCTCCTGCACACCAGTGCGGATCTTCACTGTTAGCGGGACATCAAGGACCTTCAGGAAGTGACGAGAGACACATTTTCAACCAGTCTGAGCTTTCTAGATATATCAAACTCAATTTAAAACTTATTTCTTAATGTGGTTCGTTTTAAAACATCAGCAAAACAAAAATATATATTCTCTACTTACATAATTCATTCCCTTAATGATATGTTCAAATTTTCTGGTTCTGGTCATCAAGCCACATCCTCCACCCTGATGATGGAGAACAAATAGAAACAGTTAACAGGTTGTACAATAAGCTTTAATGGTTGTGCCATAAACTACAGTCTGTACCTATAATGGAATACACATCTACATGTTGGTTTTTATGAAATGATCTGTAAAAAACATGTTTTATTAAGTTTAAATTAGGCCTCCTAGGTGTTAAAACTTCCATTTTCAGTATAAAAAGCAAAGTCCACCCTGATTTGTACTTTAATAGAGGTGTTTATATCAACTTTAATGTTTATCCTGTTGAATGGATTTTCTTTACTTGAAATTCTAGTCCTCAGCCTGGATAACCTAAATGTTGAAATCCTCCCAGCATTTAAAAAGCTAAACTAGAAACGATGGGAGAAAAAAAAAACTGTAACAAGTCTTGAGTATTTTTGGCCCTAAACTGAGGAAAAGAAACCTAATAGCTTTTTCAGGTCAGTGAACACACCATACATAAATCCTAACAACAAACTCTGATAAAGCTAACATTAAGCCTGCATGCTAGTGAAGCTAGATGAGTCAAAGTGGATTCTTCTGTGTCTTTGAGGTGTTTAAAAATGAAGGCAGAGGAAGCAGAAAGTAATCTCAAAGGAAACTGGACTTTCCATATGTTGAGAATCTCCTGTTCATCCAGGCTAGAGCCTCTAAAGAGAGAGGGACATCTTCAGTAGATAACAGGAAGGCTGAATGGAGTTTAGTTTTTTACATTTATGCTGCAGCCTCAAAATTCTTTACAAAATCCCCCACTTAATGCTAATTAATACAATAAAAAAAGGATATTTTTTCACATGTATCCACAGGGTTTGTACAAATCTTTATAACCGGTAAAACACCTTTGACAGCAACTACAGCTTTGTGTCTTCATGTTTTTAGGGTGCTTTCAATTATTCCTCTCTGAAGACCCTGCCAAGCTCAGGCAGGTTGGATCTGCTGCACTGATATAGATATGTTTTTTCAGATATTCCTAGAAATTAACAAAGTAAAAATCTGTCTGTCAGAGACCCTTCTCTGACACTTAACCCTTTAAAGCTCAATCCAAGAATAAAACAAAACAGAAAATTACTTTTTTTTGGTTTGAAGTCCTTATTTGGCCTTTTAACAAAATATGTAAAAAGAAAAAACAGAAATACATTTTGATACTAATAATTTATTACGCGATAAGTCAAGATTATTTTTTGTGTAGTCTTCTGCCCTCTGTTATCAGGTATAGCTAATTGTGTACAATAGGATTTTAGAAGTTTTTACCATTAAATTATGCAAAAGGTGTCAGGCGCAAAACATTTCAGAAACCGTATGTATCAAATATGATACATTTGGCATTATAGGGTTAATGTCACATCTGCTATGAACTGCTTGTGTAAGAAAGGCCGGGCTGTGTGATGTGGTGGCTAGCACCGATTAGTCTCACATCCCAAAAACATGGCTGCTAATTGGTCTTTCTAAACAACCCTTAGGTTTGAGCCCCTGTTCACACCAATTAAGTTCCACAAAGGATGGACGAAATTTTAAAAATATCAATCGTGAATGCCTTTAAGACAGTGTTGTAAAGATAATGCTTTGGAAGGTGAGAGACATCCAAAAAGGTTTTCTCCTTTTCTCTGCCATGCTTAAAGAGGCTAAACAACAATTCACCTTCTTATAAACAAGATCAATGGGGCATCCAGAGTTGATATCCACAAAATCAACATCAGTGTAGGTGTTGATGAGCTCAGCACACCTCGTCATGGTATCTGGAAAACAGCCTTCGACCTGCAGCAAAACATTAGCATAATGTTTATTCCAGAGAGAGAGACGCAGAAAATGTCTGCAGAGGCTCGCAATAAGCTCGATGAAAGACCATCACCTGAACACCAAACAGATCTTCACTCTCATGCCTCTTCAGGAGGGCCCACTCTGACTGATGGCCCTGCAGCAGGTTTGTGCACATGGCCATCTCCCCACAGGTGATGTCTGCTCCAAAGCGTTTGCAAACGCGACGGAAAGGCAGGTTCCCGCACTGACAACAAAACATAAAGTTGGATCTTTGTCAACGTACATCCACTAATTTTAATGTATTTATTAAGATTATATGTGACAAACAAAAAAACAAAACAAAAAAAACTAGTGCATAATAAAAAAGCTTTTCTAGATAAGATAGAGATTTCTTAAAAGTGCAACTTTACTTTAGCAATAGCCCCAAGTGATGGACTCGACAATGCTTTGGGAGATATTAAAAGCTTGTAATTATTTCATAAACCTCTAAGTCTGGTTACAAACAGGGGGAATCTATAACTGCTTTGGTGGCTTCTGGCTCCTACATATTGCTCTGGATTTTACTCAGGCGATTAAGGAGGAAAACGATAACGAAAATTACTGTTCTTCATCTGTTCTACTTACTGTTGTTAGAGGAGCGAGATAGAGCTTGTCCCGGAAGTCAACCTTCAACATAGACAAATGTTTAAGAAATTAAGCTCAAACAACCTTGCAGCAACTTTTAACACACTTCATATAAATTAGCTTATAATGGTTTCTACAGGTTTCTGTAAAGAGGATTCTGTTATTAAATATAAAGAGGAACTTAAAAAGGAAGAGTTTGTCTGATATGTACCTTTTTCTTTTCACAGGATCGCAGTTTGATAACATCGGCATCAGTTAGTGGGCCAATAGTTTTCACTGGAGGCTGGCTGTCTGGGCTGGTGGGGAGCTAATAAGGGAAAAAACAAAAAGGCTAAGATTGATAATAAAATAAAATAAAAATAAAAATGCAATAACAGACTTAAGATTGACAAAGAGCATATGAAAGTTTCAGGTTGTACCAGTTCTTCAGTAGAAACATCCTGCTTGTCTTCTGTTGGGTTTGTAGATACCTCAGCTGTACAAAGATCACCTGAATATACACATAAAATAAACTGGTTCAAATGTATTTTAGATCATACTTCTAAAATATTTGGAGAAATAAAACATTTTAAAGTTGTTCAAACTTTATATTGCCTTTTTGTATTTTGGCAAAGAGGGCATTTTGTTTATCATCAGTAAAATGGTTGCATGCTTTTATTAAGTATCAGTAAATATTGCATTTATAATGTGTGAAGGAAGCAGATAAGCTAAAGCAAACCAGACGTTTATTTTTGGAGCCTTTTAATCACAATTGCTTGTCGATTTGCAGCTGCTCAAAAGTGGTTCTCAGATTGAACCATTTTCTCTCTTAAGTTTTCAGCACTTTCATTTAGGAAAAGTTGCTGTTAGCCCTTCACCTACATATAACAGCTTGTTATACAAACTATGCTACAAGTATTTTTTTTTTTTTGTCAAATTACACTCACAAAGTGGACATGAAGAGATCCTACTTGAGGAGGGAAATGTGCTTTATTTGGAAGCACTGGGTCAGATTTGAAAATAAAATATTGCCCATTTTGAATCAAGTGAAAGCTTACAGACCAGTTTCAGCTATTCTCCATTAATTATTGGTGCCATCCACTTTGTGTTTGTTCTCTGTTTTTATTTTTCCTTCTACTGCAGCTACAATTCTCATTTTCTTCTTTGTAGTCCCTTTGAAGTTTTCTTTGAAGCCAAAAGGACACCTGGGACCAGCCTGCATGGAGCATTTATACACATATATTGACTAGAAAGAATAATTCAATATTACTCAAATTAAGCCAATACTTGGGTCAAAAGTTATTAAATAATGCTTTACGGATTTTATTTTTTACCGCTTAGCCGAGAGACTGAATTTGACTGCATTGCAACATGATTTTGATGGAGTTGAATTGTTTGAAACTGGATGGAAATGATAATAAGATAATTTTGGAATTTACTAGGTTGATATTAACTCAGTGTGTTTGAAAATTCATTTTATTTAAATGGGGTGTCAAATTTGATTTGTTATAAAATATAATAAGATTTGTTATAAAATGGAGACATAGAAATAAATTGAGATTAATCTAAATTTAGTGTTTAAGAAGTCCTATGTGTGCAGAATCCTGCATAAAACCTTTAGCAGGCTCCTGCAAAGCCTGAAAGTTTCATACACAGCTTCAAGAAATGTCGCCTATGCTGAAAACTTCACAGCTGCCAAAAAAAATATCCATACTGTAGAGAAAGTAAATAAGAAAGCTGATGCATGGGGAATTTAAAAAACATGACCAAATAAAGACTTCTGTGACTCACAAAAACAAACCTCTCTCTTACCGTTCCCTTGCTGTTCCTTCTTATCTCTGTTGTTACAAAGCGTTTTCAGGTACTCCTCTGACTTTTCGAAAGTGACTGAGCGCTTCCTCAGGCGATACTGCAGGTCTTTACTCAAGCTGTTCTTCATCATAGTTCTGCCTTCGTAAGCTTTAACCAGGTCTGCCTTCTCCATGGTTTTGAAGTCAGCAGTAGTGTGGGCCTTAGCGAAGCGACAGGCGAGCCCGTATTCGCATTTTCCAAATGTGTCGTAGAGGTGACAGCGCTCCCCGATGTCAGCGGGCTTAGAGGCCATGTACTCTGCCACATCGTGGTAAAAAATGCACTTGTCGTCAAACTTGCACGCGGCTTGGTTCTAGAAGGGTGAGAATAATCAATGTTATTGCTGGGATCTAAAATTATTTTGTGAAGGATGTTAAGAGTCCAGGAAGAGCGTTCTACCTGAATGACTGACATACACAGTCGCTTTTCTTCATAACTAGTGGGCTTTTTGTGCGGCCTTGACTTGTTCTGTCCCCGAAATTTTTTCTTATCCATTTTCTCTGTTTTCTTTGCATCTTCAGGGTCCAGCTTGGGTTTTTTAGATTCAGGTTCTTCTTCCACAGAGGGATCTTCTTTTCTCTCCAGAGGGGTGCAGTTTTCACTGGCCTTCTCTCCTTTGGAGTTCTGCCATTCTGAATCCAGAAAGCCATGAAATTTGTCTTTGGTGGTGATAAATCTGCAGAAAAAGGGAGAAAAAAATTATATATTTTTTTTCAATCATTTGGTTCAGGTCTCAAAATTGTTAATGAAATAAATCGGTCATAATGGCAGAATAAAAAAAAAACATCTTTTAAAGCATTATTATTAATGAATAACACAAGCACTAGCAATCCCCAAAATATATGCAGCTCCCAATCTACATTGGATTTCTGCATATTTTCATGTCAAAGTTGAAAACTTTTTTGGACTGGCACTCACTTCAGGAATCTGAATCATTTTTGCCTTCGATATTAAAGCAAAATTAATAAAGTTCAGCATTAGTTCGGGGCATATATTTTTAAAGTGGTCTGGCTTTTTTATTGTTCTGTGTGCAAAATCAAAGAAAGGACAATGGATGGACGGATATTTTCCTTTCCAAAACAATTCCAAAATACAAAAAAATAAATAATAATATACCGTACCTATTGACTGGTTACATTAATAAAAAAAATAAAATAAAAAATGTCTCCACCCACAGAAAACTAACAGGAGAATCTCAGTGGAAAAAATCCAAACAATAACAATGCCAATTACCCATTCTGCATATGTAGAAGATTTCTTAAATAAATGAATAAATGAAGTGAAATGTTCTGCTGAATTTGGCAGAAATGTAATGTATGCATCATTACTGGTAAGGGTGCACCGCGATGAGCTACCATGTTGAAGCTGTTGTAATGTTCACTCTAAACATTTACTAGTGTCCAGTGTTTATCAAAGTTTCTTACTCTTGTTTGATGGAAGCTTCGCCTTTTACAGCAGCATTTGTTGCTCTCTCTGTTGTGTCCTCCACTGATGCCTCCATTTCTTCACCAATGAACAAAAACAATGAACAAAAATCAACCGTTATTGTAGAACCAAACTGTAAATGTATTTTATCATTCAAATTATTTACTATGAAGTAAGTTACCAACTGAGTAGTTGGGTATTTTTATAAAAATGGTTTGTAGAACTGTGTCGGGCACGAGCAATCAGTACCTTTAGCACAGACTAAAGTTATTTTATTCAGACTGCATGCTAACAGTTATTTTGCTGGAGGTGAAGTAATGCAACCTAATCTCATTTTATATTGATATTGATCAGGTTTTTCTCACGACACTAATAGAAAATACTAATATTGTTTAATCGCCCAGTTTAAGAAAGTAATTCTGCTTTTTTGCTCCCCAACTTAATCATAAACCCATCTGTTGGTTCTTTATTATTACCAGAACAGCTTAATTTACCCTAAAACTGAATCACACCAAGATGGATTCCATTTACTGATTTCTAGATTTCTTATGACATCTGCTGGTACTGGATTTTATTTAGGGTAAATTAAAAACAAAATGGTTTAGATTTTTTTTTTAACTATACATAACTTTCCTTGCATCCTGACTTTCAGTGACTACATTGTGTAATCCTGTTTAATAGGAGACTTCAGCTGATATATATACATATAAGTGGACGCACCCATGCACCTTTTCCTCCTTATAGCACCTTCTTGTTTTTTATTCTTTGAACCGATGTAACTAGTAAATTTCTCTACTGTGAGATCAATAAAGTCAATCAATCAGTAATTTAAGAATTTGTCTTGCATTTGCACACAAACTTTTATCATTCTTAAATGCAGTCAACAACAATAACAATAACATTGTTTAATATTAAGTCCAACAGGACACAAAGTCTCACTTACCTGCTCCTTTAACAAATCAGTAAAAGCTACAGTATGATTTGCAAGTTAACTCAAAACTCTGCTAACAAGCTAACAACTTAAAGCACACTTTTCCCGCACCGTAGCTCTTTATGTAATATAAAAGTGTAAATTAAACTATCTCGTCAAAACTTAAAACTACAAAGAAACCCGATTCAGCTGATGTTAGCAGTAATATTTCACGGTCTAACATGCCTTCAACACCGTGAGGTAAGAGCAGTGCAGCCGTCTAATAATCCCGATAGTGGACGTCTACTGCCAAAAGGTTGGTTCCGCATGAGGCGAATGTAAAGAAAATTGAGTTATGCGATCTGAAACAGTGGCTTCGTTCTTAAAATACGTTTAAATTCATGACATTTCTGAATGAATAAATGAAATTTAAATATGTGAATTTCATGTCTGTAATAACTGTTCATTTCCATGTAGAACATGGGAGGGCGCTGTTGCAATCTTTTTGTCTCTGGGCACATTGGGCTCTTTCATGCATATTATGGCCCTGACAAATTTTGGCAGCATCATTTGGAGGGCACTCCCCACAGCTGTTTGGAGCCTCTTGATTGATTGACTTTATTGATCTAACAGTGGAGAAATTTACTCTTTGCTCAATAGTCCACTGCACGCCTGTCCAGTTTATTATTTTTTTTAACACTACCATGCCAATAGATTTCCTTAGCCAATCAGCTCTTTACATGAACCCACTGTGAAAAATAATAACAGTAAAATATGAAATATATAACTGTATAAGCTATCCTGTGAGTCTGCTTCATCCAATATATATGAAAACAAATTATAACTGTGTTCTGTAATTATTAGATATTTTTCTTTAAACAGGACATTTTCTAAACTGCACTTTTTTAACTTATTCAAAAGGTCTAACCAACTTAGTCCATCATGACATGACATACACACTCACAACATTTAAACAGATACACATGGATAAACCACTGACGTAAAAAGAAAAAAAAACAACTCACAATTATTGAAATCAATTCAGTATCTTGAATGGATGCAGCTTTTATCTGTGTTGACGTAACAATGTATTGCTGGATCCTTGTTTTACCACATGTCAAAAAAAAAAAAAAAACTTAATATAAACCTACAAATCTCCTCTACTTTGCAGCTGTAGGGCTGTTTCTCTTTCTTTTAAAAAACATTCTCCTTTTTTTCCCCATTAAAATCTATAGTGCCAGTGGGGTGAAATAGGCACTTCCAGGTTAGATTCTTCTAATTATTGTTATTCTTACCAAGAATAAAGTCAGGAGAATGAAGCCAAAGGGATACAAAAATAATCTTGGAATATTACAAATATTATTAAAAAGGTTATATAAAAAATATTACCAATATAAAGTATATTCTGAGATCTAATTGCTTCTGATACTGTTTAGGTGTCTGTGTCTATCAGCAGATTTGTCACATTCAACATGGTGGATGCTCTGATTCATCTGCAGAATAGGCAGACCCCGCCCATTGAGGCTTCCATGTATATAATGTCTATGGTTGCAGTGGCTACAGCCCACTGAGGATGCTCAAATTGTCCAATTCATCTAAGATGACAATGTGGGAACAAGGCTGTCTAAGTGCAGAGCATTGAGGAGATACCAGACACATGGAGGAGGTCATAGGAGGGCAACAATTTGGCAGCAGTACTGCTACCCCATCCTTTTATGAGGTCTAAATGAGATTATAATCTCTCATTCAGACTAGTATTAGCTTACACACCCTTTTCTAACAGAGGCCATCAAATTTCACTTTAAAATGTGTTGGTTAACGATACCACGCACCCAAGGGCCTGCAGAGGAGAAACTGTGCCACAGTATCAAGGATTCTCCATCCTAAACAGTTTTACACAAATTTATCATTTGTTTCACTTCAAATGTTAATTTAATCTGACCAAAGCATAATTTCAGTTAATTCCTAAATTTTTACTTACTACCAATCTTTCTAATCTTTTCTTTTTTTTTGTATGCCTGCCAAAAAAAAGAAACTTAGGCCTGTGGATGCTATCTAAAGGTTGTCATGGAGACCCTAAGATGCTAATTTTTGCTGTGCTGAAAATTAGCATAGCTTTTCCTAAAATTTTTTACCATCATGTGTTGGAATAAATATGAATTTTTGGTCAGGGGCTAACAAAATTTGTATTTGTGTCAAACCATATTTTAACTCCAGGAAATCAGTAGGTAATGCTTTGTTAATCAAAAGCAACACTCGATTTAATTCAATTTAAAACAAACTATACATTGATTTGGTTACATTTATTTTAATGATACTATAAGTTTTGCAACATGTGATTTTGTAAAAAAAATATTAATTCAGTTTTTTTTTTTTTTTACAAATAAAATACACTGAAATCATTGAATTCTCCAAAATTTCTAATTATGCTACTGCAATGAATTAAGAATGAGTCATAACCAGGTATACAAAGGAAGGCTTCATCCAGAAATATTTTTCAACAAAGTAAAAACTGCTGCATTCAATCCTCAGGCAAGGATGAAAGTTTTTCTATTTTTGCCACAAAGCGCTTCTTGCTAGTGTCCAGGATATGGATCCCGTTTTTCTCAAAATCATATCCAACCCTCTGCAGCTCTTTCAGTCGCTCTGTAATGTTCTGTGTGCTGTAATCCAGGACTTTGGGCTTCTCCAAGATTTGCTTTATTGTTATGCCTGCTTTAAGGAGGCAGTCCAGTTTGGGGTTCAGAGTGGACGGCCCAATGTAGAGAATCATGGGATAGTTTATTATCAGTTTCTTTATGTCATTTTTCTTACAGCCCAGTGAAGACATCTTCTGCTCAAGGTTGTTCACGTTTTTCTTCAGATACTCATTAGAGAGGTCCAAAATGTCTGCCCCTTGGCCCTGAAGCAGGGCAAGAAGTTCTGCATCACTTAATTTAAGCGAAGTCTTCAGATTATCAATGTTGGTTTTTACTCTTTTAGTACTTCTGATGAGGATATAGAGGTTTTTAGATATTACACTTTTAGCAAACTGTTCTGGATTCTTTCCACCCAGCTCCAGACAGATGTCCTCTAGAAGCTCCACCATCTGCTTGTTGAGCTCCAGGCTGTTGGAGAAAGTCCGAGGTGCTGTGGTCAGCAGCCGATGAAGGTCTTTGGAGTTTAATCCCAGCGAGATCAAAAAATCGATGTTCTTTTTCAGGTTCTCGTTGTCACTAGAACGGAAGAAAGACTCTGGCGAGCGGTCAAGGATGTTCACAATCTCAGCGTCCGTGTTAAAAACGTTCCTCCACAGCTGCCAGCGCTGCTCCAAGTGATCAGCAGAACGGGTTATGGCGCGGGGATAACGGGACACGATGCTGGCGATTACGTTGCGGCTGGCACCTTTTCCTTGCAGGAACTGGGCAAGACCCAACTCGTTGGTGAAGGTCTTACGAAGCACGCCAGGCTGACGTTGACGGGCCATTTTTACATCCACTCCCAGGAGATTTAGGTTCTCGAGCAGAGATTTGTTCTCTGTGTTAGACTGCAGCTGTTGTCCATTGCTGTTACTATATTGCCGCCAGGAGAGGTGGGTTAAGGTCAGCTGTAGAGGAGCAAGCCTAAAGCTCTGACAAATGACTGAATGACGAACACTAATAAGGGTTCTTAGCCCAGAAACAGCTGCCATTTTTCCTAAGGAAGACTGGAGATCTGTTGAAGAAAAAAAAAAATAACAAAGATATATTATCCCATTTATTTTTCTATAAATTAAAAAAAGAACTTAGTAAAGACTAGTAAGTTGTGAGAAAAGAACATTTTGACCGAATCATCAAATTTAATTCTCACTGATTCACAACCAACCTATTAAAGTCCATTCTTTTCAATTTACCTGGATCTTACATAATTATGTATACAAGAATAATTGATTGCAACATGTACTTTACAAGTATTTTCCACCCATTACATCATTATTTTTCCACATTAATACACATAACCTCAAACTGAATTTAAAATATTACAAATGACTAATTAAAAAAAGATTTCCCAGAGAATTAAAACTGTTCTAAGAAAACAAATCTCAAAATTGATAAGACAAATCAAGCAAGGGAATTATTCATTCAGATTTCCAGCTAAGAGGATCATAGTAACCGGTGGAGTTAAAAGTTCAACTGAAACCAAAACTGTAGGTTTATTATTAGCACGACTTTCTTTAGCCGCTTGCCTATTTAAACCCTAAAGATTATGTAAAATGTTCGATTTAAAAATTACATAATAAATAAATAAAAGCGAAGTTTTTATTGTTAAAATCCATAACAAACATACCATATTTTGTTTTGTTATTTTTCCGAGTACGCTCAATTTACTTTTGCTTTTGAACAGCAAAGCGGAAGGGAAAACTTGTAGGATCACGCGAGATTTTGAATTTTAAAGGCAATCGTCAGAACTATGCCGCCTAGCGTCTTGGAGCTCTAAGTTCATTTTTTTTCTGCCAGCAGGTGGCAGCAAGTGATTTTTAATTTAGAGACGCACAACTGCTCAAGGCAAATGTGATAATTGGACAAAGGGAGGAACAACAAAAAATAAATAAATTCAATAAAATAAAACATCCCAACAAGATGGGGCTAACTGTGAAAGGGAATCATTTGTTTCTTTAGACAAAAGGCTTAAATCAATATTACTTTAACATTTACAATTGTTCACATCTCTATTATAACTCAGATCGTAACTGTTAACATTCAGTTTTAAGATTTATATGATGACAAGATCATTAACCAACTTCAGTTCATATCCAACTATTTCAAAAAGACTAAGTCCACACAAACAATATTTATTCATTAAAAATAAACGGAGAGGAAATTGTATGTTGTACACCATTCTTACTTTTATATATTTGTAAGAAGCAAAATGAGACTAAGGGCCTCCCAAAAAGCTTGATTAATACAAAAAATAAAAAAACAACAACGGTATTATTAGGTAAAGATTTTTTAAAATACATATTAGTAATTATCTATGTGTTCAGTGATAGTAAATCATCTAAAGGCTCTGCAATGATACCATGATTGTCCTGAGGCCTCATTAAACTACAAAGAGAACCTTCCCAAAGCACAAAGGATACACTCATTTGGTGAAGAGAGAGATAACAATTAAAGCCCAACTAAACAGTTAAAGCATTAAACCACAAACATATGTTTAGCAAAGACTCTGAAAAATAACCCTTTAGTCATCAAGACAACTACCGCATAAAGTCCTCTCTATATTAAAGAGTTCTGATCACTTTATACACTTTGTATACACTCCGTGACAC